CCCTGCCCGAGCTGGGCACGCCGCGGGGGAACAGCTCGTCGCGGGGGGACAGCCCTGCCCCGGCTGGAACTCACCACGCTCTGACAAACCCGCAGTGCCCGAGGTCTGGATGGGCCGATGTTCGTCAGGACGCTGAGACCTGCCTCCTGGGCATGGTGCTCCAAAATTCACCTTGAGTTTGTCTGTCTCAGACTTTCCCAGTGCTCCGTCTTGGGCCAAGGGGAAACATGGTGCTGTCATGGTCTCTGGAGAACAAAATTTGGTTGGACGGTCATTGACTTCCTTGGCCAGGAAGGAGGCAAGAGCAATACAGCACTGGAGTGTGTGACTCAGCCAGGATCAGCTAAGGGGCACATCAGAAATGGTTCCATCTGCAAAGGGAGGACAGAGAAGTGGTCTTCCCTGTGGGTCTGCAAGATGACTTTCACAGGGGTTCCAGCATGCTGTAACTTGGGGTATGAAGATATGAGTGCTCATACCCAGAAACACATTTATGAAGTCAAGGGATGCCATGCTCTGGCAGGAGCAGAGCTGAATCCTCCCTGAGCTTGCCCTGCCAACTGTGAGAAACACATGACCCCGAACTTTTTGAGAGCCTATCTCACTGGAGGTGAAATAATGACAGAAACAAATTCCAAGAGAGGAACTTAGCCTGGATGCAGCACTCAAACCTTGTGGGGCTAGGGTAGGACAGGTCAGATACTGTGGGAGAGAAAAGCTCAGAAGTAGGCAAAGAGCTTTGACTCACGTCTCTCTGGCACTTCTACAATGGTGTCAGTGCAGAGAGGACACCACTGGGATTGGGCTAGGTGTTGGAGGAAGAGCCCCTTTGTCCTTCCTCTCCACTCTCTCTTACCTCACTGGGGCCCTCTCTGCATTGACCATACCCTCAGGAAAACAATCTCAGACATTATGCAGGGCAGTCCAGACTGGAAGATGTAAAAGGGGCTCTGGTTAATTACCTCTCCACAAAGGAGCCCATCTCCAGGGGTGAACGGCTTGCAGACACCTTCAAACAGAGCAGGAGGACTGCACTTTGAAGTTATCCAGAGGAGGAGGGTTATCTTGGGCTCTTGCGTATATCCTACGCAGGCAGTTTCCCTTGATGTGTCTGGTGTGATCAATGTAAATGTCCCTACACCTAACACAGTAGCAGCCAGCTTTCCTCACTGCTGTCTGTCAGCTCAGATCTCACCACCCACATAGAAGCACTGCATCTCCAGTCTCACCACATCCCCATGCCATCGCTGTGGGAGAAGCACTCACAACCTGGGGTAGTTTCCACTCAACATCTGGTGATTGCAAGCCACTCCTCTGTATCCCAAGTGAAGACAGACTTGGAGGGGATCTCAGACCAAAAGGAGAAGACCAGCAAGGAGGAGATGCATCACATAGAGTCCTTGAGCAGGCAAGGCAGCCTGGACTCCAACAGAGAGGATGGCAGAGGCAGTCTCATCTTGACCCTTACACTCTACAATGTGAAGAAGATTGAGGTCACTAGGGCAGCCAGAGTCTTTGCGGTACAGACCTCACCATTCCCTTCTTCTACTGAGCCTTCTCTTCTGTCCCTATCGCATTCACCTCTTCCACTCTGCATCTCCCCCTCTCCCACCCTTCTCTTGCTCCCTACCTATTGTCTTCCACCTGCTTTCCCCCTTTCTCATTGTCCCTGTTTTCCTATAACTGCTGAGAGAGGTTGGCTGACCTCTCCAGATGAAGAAAGAGAGTGGTCTGGAGGGAGGGAGCAGCTGGACACAGTCATTTAGAAGAATCATCATTTTATATAAGGGCTGTTTAAAGCAGATAGCAATCTATCATGTCTCTCTAGCGGTTGTGATGGCCAGCCATGACTAAACAACAGATCAGCATTTCAAGCACTCAGCTTTTGGGGTTAGGAGCCAATTAATTTTCTCCGCATATTTGGCAGGAGATATAGAGAACACAAGAGCTGTAAACCATACAGGCATTATATATTCTGGGTACTTGAAGTATCCCTACCAGGTGCTCACTCCCATCTGTGAAAATTAATAACTCAGAAGAAAAGTATTGTATACATTACTTATTTTTAATTGTTCACATTTAATGATTATGATGTTATTATACATCAATAGATCTGCTTTCATTTTGTCAAGGTCTTAAGAGTTACTCAGCCATTCATTTTTTATTTCTGCACAGATGAAATGCTACAGTCAACAGTATCTCATCCTTCATGTCCATCTATCTCTACCTAATTCTACAGTGTTTAATCTTTAGCTCTGCCTGTATTTTAGCTCCTTCTAAACTGGACATTATCAAGCTGAATTGCTTAACAGGCACTTCTTGTTAAGACCTCTTTTAGACACCTTTTAAGACATTGTAGAAGTGTATCTAGACTTACCTGGATTTTCAGTCTATGGAGAAGCTTCATCATATGAGAATCTGGTTCTTGCAGGCATTTGAAACTCAGATCCGTCACTTTGAAACCAGACGAGCCAAAAAGCCCGAGAACTCTGCTGACCATCTTGAAATTTTTGTTGAATGTGAAGTTCACAGTGCTCATGTTAGTATCCTTATCACCTCCTTAAAGAGAGTAGCAGAGGACGTGAAAACTACCAGAGAAGAGAAAGGTAAGAAGTGTATGCATCTGTTAGTGCTGTTTTGTTTCTTTTCAGAGTAGGTTTTTTAGCATTAGCTTCATAGTAGTGATTTAAATAGTCTGGAAAATATGTGAGTGTGCATTCATTTTTCTTCACGGCGTGACTGTTTTCCCTGAATTAGGACCATTCCCATTGGTGTGGAAAGGGAGGCACTTTGTCATAGCCAGTGGAACTGAGGTGATAAAAATGTTCCAGCAAAAAAGGAGAGAAGAAGGACAGAGCAGCAAAAGAAGAAGCTGAGGAGAAACCAGAAACTCCTCAGTATAGGAAGACTGTGGTCTGAGAGCTGAGAGCTGTGCAGAGAACTGACTTCTCTGAAGCTCTGCAGAGAACTGACTTCTCTGAAGCTCTGCAGAGTGAACTTGATGGGAACTCAGTAGTATGGCAGAGGGTCTGAATGTTTCATTTGCTTGTTGTGTATTGCATTGGTTTTGTTAAAAGAAGCAATAGCTGTCTGTTTATGGTGTCCCAGATACTGCCATCTGGGTCCAGTTGGAGGTAAATTACTCCTTCACTGGAGAGAGCTAAATGCAACAAGCTGTAAGAAGCTTCCAGTGTGCAGGAGGGAGAGAGGGTTAGCAGAAAGTCTGCAGGTACTGGGCAGGCTGGGAGAACCAGGGGATGAGCTTCTTGTAGAGAATGGACCTGCTGCTAGATCTGGCGTAACAGAGCATCAGGTATTTTTCCCAGGCACCTGAAAAGCTTGTCTGGAGGTTGTGCATCTTCAAAGGCTGCACTTTAGGAACAGTATTTCAGCTGGCAAAGTGCTGCAAGTGGCTACTCCACTGCCTGTGTTGTATTTGAGTCACCATCCCTACCAGTCATCAGGATAGGAAGTGAGTTTGCCAGAGGGAGACCCATATTTTTCTTGTTTACAGGCAAGTAGGGGATTGGTGAGTACAACAAGCTGTTGGAAACCATTAATACAATCCTGAGGATACCAGAGGTGCCCTGATAAATGAGAAGGCTGTTCATGGCAAGCTGTTATCAGGGACTGAGGGGATATTAAATGGGTGTCGCTGTCATCAGGGAAACTGGAGACCCAAAGAGCTTTTTGGAGCTGAAGAAGCATTTCTTTAGGATTTCCTTGCAAATTGAGAGGTTTGAGAGGCAGCAGTTAGTTCAAGTGTACCGGGACTAGGACCTACAATAAAAACAAGGTCCTGTTGAAAGAGGGTGTGTTTACAGTTACAGCAGAGGAATATTAGAGACATAATTTTCTTCAAATTTTCCTTTTTCTCACAGTTTTGAACAGAAATCATAAAAGTAATTAGGCTTATTTTGGATGTAATGGATTAATATACTTGACATGGAAAGGGCCAGAGTCCTTCTGTTTCCGTTAGCTCAGACTTACACACAGCACTCCTTAGTTTGTCAAGAGTCTTTTCTGGGTGTTTCAAACCACAGAATTTGGTAGTTCCCTAAGCAGTTAATTTGATTTCAAGATTAAAGGATCAGAGACTTGCTCTTTGTGGCCCACAGAGACACCTGTGAAACCAGGAAGTTTTCTGAAGGACAGTGATTAGACAATACCCTGCCAATAGTGGTTTTAGCCCAAATTAATTTGGTACTCAGTTGAGAAAAGAGGTGGTTATTTCTGCTTCCATGAAGCAGAGACAGATGCAGACAAACTGGCATCTGTCAGCACTGTCCCTGTTTTATCAGCTGCATTCATTTCTGTGACCAGGCCAAGAGTACTGCCATGGTCCTTCCTCCCCTCTCCTTTAGCCTGTCTGCCCCCTCCAGGGGCTCAGTAAGGGATAGGCAAAGATGGCGATGGGGACATAGACTGGAGGACTTATGATCAGGTACAGGTTTTGAAGAGATCCGGCCACAGATGGCAGGACAGGCATCTTGTATGCAGAACCATTGGTACAGCCAAAGACAAAGGCTCAGCAAAAAAAATGGGTAGAGGTAAGATGTCTGTCAGACTAGTATTTCTTCTTTTTTATCACAGAATGTTCCATAACTGCATGAAAGAACCAGAATTTCCCAGCATTGGTGTGTATTTGTAGCCTTCTACCTTCGTGAAATGGCTGTGGCTGGATAGAATACAATAGTGATAAAGCTACATTTGCCATTCAGTACAGAGATGCCTGGTGTCCTCTTGTCAAGTATTAGATTAAGGTGATCCTAAACAGACCTCTTCTGAGCCGTAACACACTAAGAGTGACCATAGTATCAGTCTGACCTCATAAAGCCGTATTAACTTTGTATTTTTTCAGTTGTTTTTCAATTCATTGGTTATAAATACTGGCACTTAAATTAAAATGGGCACACTTTATTTTAGTCACCAGAAAAGGTCTCCATTTCAGGGAAAGGAAACTGTTTGGAAATTCAGCTAAGGCTAGAATAATTTTGCTGGGAAAAAAAAAAAAAAAAGAACGAGAAGGAAAAAACCTGAAGTCAAGATAATTCTTGTCCTGTTTTGTTTCTGAAATTTCATGTTTTCCTTTTAAATATTGTTTTCACTTTTAAAGGTATGAAAATCTAAAACTACTTTTTAGACAAGATCAAAATATGTTTAAAATCCAAAATGTAGAAATAAATTTGTTGTGCTGTGTCAAACAGAACATCTCATTTGTCCTAAGAGGATGTGGCTTTGCCTTTAAAATTTTTCTCTACTAATTTAAACTGAGATTATCGTTGCAAGTTAGTTTCAGATAATTTTTCATCCAGTCTGTCAGTTTGGTCGGTGAACAAATCAACTACTGACATACAGTGAGAAGTAGATACAAATATTCTTAGATACTGATGAAAAGAAAGCTTGTAATCTTCAGTACAACTTTTATTTTCTGTGTATTTTAAAAATTATTTGATCCTATCTCATTTAACTCCTGCTACTTTCTCTCCAGTGCCCTGGTTCCCCAGAAAAATCCAAGATCTGGACAAGTGTCACCATTTGATCTCTAAGTATGATCCCAGTTTGTATCATGGTCGCCCTGTAAGTTGAATGTCACTGTTATATAATCTCTTAA